CTGCGGCAGGCTGGCTGGCAGCGACATCCTCGCGTTCTGCAGTGGACGGGCCGAGAGTCATGCTATCACGTATTGCCAATTAATATATATTTTGATCCATTGTTGAGGATTTAAGTTGTTATGATCAAATAGATTTATCATTTATGCATTGGAGGGTATAAAGTGCAATGCATATCCATAGGTGTTTCAAAATATGTTTTCTATGATTTAGCATTACTATTCAATATGTCCACTACCTTTCTGTAGATAAACCGAAGCTTATATTGTCATTCTGTATCCAAATTTTTTTGCTAATATGAAGTTTGTTATACTATCATTCATGGATTAGTGGCACATTTGCAATTTGGCAAGGACTTTTAAGAATTAAAAATGCAGTTCGTATATATGACAGTGTCTGCCCTTATTTATCTAACATTGGTTCCACACTGTACTATTTAATTTGTGATGGCATTCCACCTTGTTTTGTATTCTAACATTATTCATAGGTGACCTTCCAAAGTATGCTCCTTTTTCTGTCGGATTTTATAGGAGATTTAGATATTCATTGCTTTCAAGCACTGGTTTAATTAGAAGCCTTGTTGTATTTGTTTATTTCCTTTTACATGTGCTTTCCAATGTCTGGTGGAATCATGCCAGCAGGGAGTTGCTTACATTTCTTGTCCCTTGCAGATTTTCCTCTTTTTGATCTGAAGCTCTCTTAGGGATCATGGGGCTTCAGGTATTGCAACAGTCAGTGACTCAGTGCCTTATTATGTTCTTATTAGGGATCATGGGCTTATAGTTTTGTAGTTAGTGCAGGAGCTATTGTTCTTAAATACAATTTCGTTTAGAAAAGTCTTCCTGTAGACTTATCTAAACGAGTCCTGGAAGTGTAGGAAAAGTCTTCCTATAGACTTATCTAAACGAATCCTGAAAGTGATCTGCATGCAAACTCTTGGTCAAGTATGTGTTTCCCTAATTCTCTTGGCCAATAAGATGCCAAGGCAGGAATGGATTTATGGATTCATTTTTAGGGATGTAAATAAAATTATATATAAGTTTGGTTTTTCCTTCCAGTATGAAACTGAATTTGACATTGGTATCTGAGATTTATGTTGCCTGGTGTTTGAGAAGGTCTAGAGTTGAAAACACAAATAATGTTTCCTGTCAGTCCTTTTTTGGTGTTAATTAAAGTGCAGTCGTCCAGTGATTATCACAAAAGAAGGAAATTGATACCCAGTCTATAAAAGAACTTTCTGAATATATGATGTATACACTTTCTGAATATATGATGAAATATGTAATTTTTGGCACTGAAACATCTGAGAAGGCACATAAAAGAGTGCACCTTATATTAATATTTGTAAAAACTGTACAGATCCCTTGGCTTTTTGTTGAAGGATATAGTTTTCGGATTGTTTACTTTTAGTCTTTGCTAGAAATAATGTTCCTTTTCGCATAATCCTAAGCTGAGGCAGCCCTGTGGTTGCGCATTGCCCGCTCTGCCTAGCAGCCTAGAGCCAGCGTAAAGTGGCGACAACTTTGGGTTGCTGCGCCAGCAGCTGGTCTAGGGTTTAGACTAGTTAGACTCTGGAATGCATTGCCTATTATCTACAAATCGATATATAAGACCTGAAATTTATAAGGACACAGACCAGTTGTCAAGATCATCTGTATTCAGGTAATAAACCATTCAGAAAACATCAATTAGGTTAATATGGTCTTAGGAACTTATAATATGCTTTATATTGGAAGTTATAACCAGAGAAAAATGTTTCATTGAGGAGTATATATATTCCAGGAATAACTAATGCCTGCCTAGAAATACTTTGTGCTCCATTATAGTTGTGTTCTATCAATAACTGGTACATCAACTTTCCAATGTTATGTCAGGGAATTCAGAAGTTAGGGACAAACTTTGTATCAGGGATGCTTTGTTTGGCCTACCATAGGGGATGTTTGCTTCACTGAACTATAGAAATCCACTTGCACTCTTAATGATAATGACATAATGTTGCTATCCTTCTGATGGCGAACCAGGCAAACATAAAGTAAAAAAGGTGCAACAATACCTTTACGAGAGAAACATGCCTACAACATTTTACTATCATCTTTTGACATTGCTCATGCACATATAATGGCTAGGCTAAGTGTGTCCTGCTTGTTATTCTTCTATCATTATCTTCTACGGTTTTGACTACTAATTCTGGTTTGGTAAAAATTATCTTCTTTAACATGATCAAAGCTGGAAGCTTGTCTGATCAAAGCTGGAAGCTTTGTTATCAGCCATGAAGTTCAGGAGAAGCTCAAGAGAAGCTGCCACTTTCCTTAAGTAACATCATTAACCCTGCGCTCTTGTGACACGTGCTATGTACCGTGACTGCCTGTACAATATGCAATGCTGCAGCATGTCAGTTTAGCTACCATCTCCTTGATCTATGACTCGTGTAAAATATATGTAATGTTATCTCAATACATGCATAAATCACTACATGTAACCTCAGTTAGCGAGTTTTGTAAATAAATGACACTGAATGTGAGCTATTTTGCTATTTTGTGTATACTTTTAGCACAATCAATGGTCTATCTATGTTTGCATATTGAGAACATTGTCTAATGTAACATGTTATGTTCATGTTGACCTATTATATTAATATAATGTGCAATCACCTAATATTGGGTTGAGTGTCTGTATGTGATCATATTCATTCTTTGTCATATTTATCTCACGATTATTCTATTTGTCAATTAGAATTACAAAATTATCACGCGTGTGGCGCTCAAATTGCTGTTTAGACATCTCGCAGCTATTTTTGGGACATACCGTTGGTCAATCTGTTACTTCAATGCTGCAGTACCACTGTTCTTCGTCAATGCTGTTCCACTACACGGATGCAAGCACGGCCAGTGGCCCGCGCGCATGGGCGCGTGAAGGACTAGTATAGAGTAGTACTTGCAAGTACAAAATTTGAGCAAGGACTTTTCAAACAATGTGACAAAGCAAGGAGTTGACTTTGTTAATCAATTGACCATTATTCAAGAGTTTACTGGGGTGTTTGGTTTCACCTACTAAAATTTAGCCCATGTTACATCGAATGTTTGGACATATGCATGGAGTATTAAACGTAGACTAATTACAAAACTAATTGCACAGATTGAGACTAATTGACGAGACAAATCTATTAAGCCTAATTAGACTTATGTTTAGTCTTTCTAATTAGTACCTAAATACCCGATGTGACGTATACTAAACTTTAGTCCCTGGATCCAAACACTACGTATAGGTGGGTACGAACACCTGATTGGCTTATGACTGCGCAAATGGAAATTATGTAGAATATATAACACCCATAGTTGTATTGCTAACTACTCTAATCCCTTGTGCACTAACCTGGCCGTATATATTATGACATGTTCTTCCTCCTAGCCCTAGCCACGGACGATCTGATCTAGTCATATTTGACAAACTAACTGATCTGCCGACTGAGACCGTGCGCGTTGATTTCATCACTTGCATTGACAGCGAGGTAAAGAATTTGAGGTTACTGGAATGGAAGATTAGTCATCCAGAAGCTAGGCTAGGGATGGAAGCAGAGAATTCACAATCAGTGACCAGGACCTCATGGTTTCACATTTGTTTTTTCTACCATAACACATCATAAAATGATGAAAGAACATGACACAGTACATTGCTCTTTAATTATTTCATCCTCCAATTTCTTCGTTCCAGAAGATGGCATGAATTTGCTTCAAACGAACGACGTAGTAGCTAGCTAGGTCACATATATAGCAGCTAAGCTAGTATATATAATCTTGTGACCGTGGTGAAGAAACTTTCCTCATTAACGAGCGAATACGGAATTGAACAAGTAAGTAACCAAGTAAAACACAATACATGCATATAGTGCATAGATTATGTATGTGCATGCTGCTTCATTCCTACTGTGACATTAATTCTCGAGAGACATGCATCTTGAGAGAGAGAGAGAGAAGAGATGAATTGTGATTCTACGGCTAGGTTTGTACCATATACTCTACGACTACATTTAGGTATTGTTTGGTAAAGCTCTAGCGCTACGAAATCCATGGATTTCATAGAGCTAGATGTCTGTAGCTCTAGAAAATCCTAGGTTTAGAGCTGTAGACGTGTCAAAAGCATTTACCTGATTCATTTGGTTTATAGTTTAGATAAAATATAAATATTTTAACCATATATACTCCCTCCGTCCCATTATATAAGGCGTAACCACCTCTGGTTCAAAGACCACGGAACGCATTTAATTCTCTCTCTCAACACTATTATTACTACATTAATGTAAGTGTGTCTAGAGAGAACACGTCTTATATTATTATGAGACATGAATAAAAAATGGTTACGCCTTATATACTAGAACGGAGGGAGCATTAATCTACGCCGGGCAGCACTACTCGGTGTTTTCCTCTCACAACAAATCAGCATAAGCAGCAGTATAAACTAAATTTTAGGAAAACGAATGGGGCCTAATCTATACACTAGAGAGAGATATAGCGTGGATATATGTCAGCTGCTGCCGAGGTAGAGGAGGTGGTTGGTCGGCGAATGAACTATGACCCAAAAAATAAAAGCCTGTTGACCCGGCCCAACGAAGCCCTCTGCAGTCTCTTGCCCCCCTCGGCCCCTCCTCATTGATAAACGACGACGAACAAGCTGGAGTACCCTATAGGTGTACCTACGGTCAAGGTCAACGAAGCGTAGGTGGTGCGGTCCGGTCCATGCAGGCCGTTGGATTCAAAGCCGACAACGGATACGGATTGCTTGGCAACCGATCGATCGCGATCCATCATCCATGACGTGCATGCAGAAAAGTCAGAGACCCTAGCAGGTCCAAATGCTTCTTGGTTCTCCTTCCCTATAAATTCAGATCAGACGAGACAGCGGTGGATTCATCATCCATCAGCTAGCTAGCTACCAGATATATATCTACAGCTGGATCGATCCAGTGCACTGCATCTGCATCATCGATCGCTTGGCTTGCATGCAGATGGCCCTGACGCTCGCACCGGAGCCGGCGGCGGTGGCGGGCGGCGGAGGAAGAGTCGGCGACGTCGACTACAGCCACAGCCACAGCCATGGCGGCAGCAGCGGCAAGCGCGAGCGCATGTTCGAGAAGGTGGTGACGCCGAGCGACGTGGGGAAGCTGAACCGGCTGGTGGTGCCAAAGCAGTTCGCGGAGCGGCACCTGCCGCTGCGCGGCGCGGCGGCCAGGTCGCGGGGCACGGTGCTGTGCTTCCACGACGCGCGCGGCGGCGGGACGGCGTGGCGGTTCCGCTACTCGTACTGGAGCAGCAGCCAGAGCTACGTGATGACCAAGGGCTGGAACCGCTACGTCCGGGACAAGCGCCTGGCGGCCGGGGACACCGTCGCCTTCTGCCGCGACGGCACAAGGCTCTTCATCGACTGCCGCCGGCGGAGGAGTAGTCGTACCGGGGAACAGGGCGCGGTGCCGCCTGCGGTCGTCGTCCCGGCGGCGATGCTCGCCGTGCCGCCGATGACAGGGCACCACCAGCAGCAGAAGCAGGGCTTGGTCATCGTCTTCTCCGGCCAGCACCAGCACCAGCAGGCGGAGGAGGCGGTGACGATCGTGGAAGCAGCTGCAGCAGCAGAAGCGGAGGACGAGGAGGAGGCGCAGCGGCGGCGCGGGCGGTGGCTCCGGCTGTTCGGCGTCAACCTGCTGGAGCTTCGTGCCGATCCGGTGCTGCTTGATCTGCAACTTTGACGACGACGTACATTAATTATATTGGATGAGAGAACGAACTGGCTTCGACTCTTGCTTGTAGCATTAATACTGTAGCTAGCATGCCTGATCGAGAGGGCAGTGCTTGCACCCAATTAATTCCCAATTGGAGCACTAGCAGTAGCAGTAGTTGGGTAAACGCTCTCAACTCGAATGCATGCATGGGTTGCAGAACGAAGCCAGAAATTAATAACATTTAAATTACAGGGATTGGAATGGTGGTTGTAGCCCAGGAAGGAACGAGGAACGTCCTCCATCTCCATGCCCGTGCGTTGACCATTATTCCTCCTCTCCACAGTCCTCACTCATTCGTCTCTCTTGACACTCACGCGCGTACGATCCAATTCTTCTCCGTGTTCGGCAGCGCTGCGACTCCCTCAGTGGCCGAATCATCTTGGCGATTCATTTGGGGTCGGCCCAACCATCTTGCAAATGGGAGGGCCCGGCTAAACTGTGGAGGGCTCAATCATCTTGCAAATAGCAGAAGACAACACATGCCACCTCATTTTAAGTGGGCCCCACGTTTCCTCAGAAAAAGTGGGCCCCACCTGTAAGTGATTTTAATTTACTATTCTTTCTTCTCCTCTTTCCCGCCCATTCTTCTACCTCTCGGCTCCGATTTCCAACCTCACGGCCTCCTAGTGCGCCACCGTCCTCCGTGCTCGCCCGGCGCGCCGAAGGCCTCTGCTGCTGTAGATCGTTGCGCTCAGGTCCGGCCCTGCCACTCCATCTCCATGTGCCATCGAAGTCCGCCCCAGTTGCGTGCGAGCCGGCCCCGCCGCACCGACGGACCACCTAGTCTCGCTTGGGTCTGGCTCACCGCACCTGGCGCCACTGACCGTGATGTCGGCCTTCGTCCTCATCACTACGGGAAACAGGGGCTTTGCCGAGTGTTTCCTACTTTGCCGAGTGCCAAATGTCGGGCACTCGGCAAATCCAAACACTCGGCATATCCTTCTTTGCCGAGTGCCAGGCACTCGGCAAAGGATAGCACTCGGTAAAGCCTCCCTTTGTCGAGTGTTGGGCTCTCGGCAAAGCTAAACACTCGGCAAAGGCTAACAGAGGTGACGACGGCCACCCACCGTTAGGCTTTGCCGAGTGGTCGCCGTGAGACACTCAGCAAAGAATTTTTTTAATTTTTTTAATTTTTTTTTATTTTCTTTGTCGAGTGCCCTGTCTCTGGCACTCGGCAAAGACCCCCTTTGCCGAGTGCCAGGTCTGGCACTCGGCAAAGAATTTTTTTATTATTTTTGCTCCCAGATTTTTTCTTTAGGGTTGCTACAATGCTTTAAAGTACATGTTAAAATTTGGTTGAATTTTGTGACTTTTTACTATATTTTTAGAATTATTTTTGTTTTGTTGATTTATTTCATAAAAAGCAAGTTTGAACTGCACGTGCATCGAATAATGAAATCTAATCATTCGAAAAATGATTGTCATGCTAGTGAGTGTGTTTTGAGGCTGTATCTAGGAACTTGCAGGATATTTTTCACATCTTGTTAATGAAACATGAGGACAAAGTTGCGGCCAAAGTGTTTTCAAATTGTATAAAATTCAAATGAATTCAGAAAATCACGAAACTTGTGGATGCATCGTTATATAGCATGTGGAGCCTATGGTAAAAATTTGAAAAAGTTTCGTGCACGTTGTCACGTACGGTGCTTAGAAATCAGGACATCTCCACATGTGATATATAACGATGCATCCACAAGTTTCGTGATTTTCTGAATTCGTTTGAATTTTATACAATTTGAAAACACTTTGGCCATAACTTTGTCCTCATGTTTCGTTAACAAGATGTGAAAAATATCCCACAAGTTCCTGGATACTTCCTCAAAACACACTCACTAGCATGACAATCATTTTTCGAATGATAAGATTTCATTATTCGATGCACGTGCAGTTCAAACTTGCTTTTTGCGAAATAAATCAACAAAACAAAAATAATTCTAAAAATATAGTAAAAAGTCACAAAATTCAACCAAATTTTAGCATGTACTTTAATGCACTGTAGCAACCATAAATAAAAAATCTGGGAGCAAAAATAATAAAAAAAATTCTTTGCCGAGTGCCAGACCTGGCACTCGGCAAAGGAGTGCCAGAGACAGGGTACTCGGCAAAGAAAATAAACAAAAAAATAAAAAAACTTTGCTGAGTACCAGCCCGTGGCACTCGGCAAAGGACCTAACATCAAAATGGGCACCCGCCGGCCCACCCCGGCCAAACCCTATCCACACAACCGCTCCCCGCCGCCGCCCGCAACGCCGCCCGCGCGCGCCGCCGCTGCACGCGCGCTGCCCCGGCGCCCCGCCCCACCGCCGCTTCACGCGCGTGCTACCCCGACGCCGGCATCAAGCCCTGCCCCCGACCCTCCCCGCCGCCGATTTGCGCCGCGCCGCGTCCGGCCCCGCTTCCCGCCGCCGCGACCGGCGAAGAGCGCCGCACCCGGCCCTGCCGACCGCTGCCCCGCCGCTCCCCGCCCCACCACGCCCCATCGAACGACCGGTGCAGAAGGACGAAGAAGGGGGAGAGGAAGGAGGAAGGAGAGGAAGGAGGAAGAAGGAGGAAGGAGGTTGCCTTCCCGTTCCGTTCCCGGCGCCATCTTCCTCGTGTTCCCGTCTCGTCGACGCCTCTGCCGCCAAGGTATAAGGATGTGCCATTGTGATTGTCAGCCTTTGAGCCGTTGTGATTGTCGGCCTTCGAGCCGTTGTGATTGTCGGCCTTCGAGCCATTGTGATTGTCGGCCTTCGAGCAGTTGTGATTGTCGGCCTTCGTGCCGTTGTTTTTTGCAGGTTTTGGAAACCTCCCCGTGCATGAGAGGTGCTGCCAAAATTTAGAATTGGCCCAAATCTATTTGTTTTTCATGCAGGTGAAGGAACTGTCTGAGCGGAGCCAGAGCACCTTGGCTACACCGATCGTCTTCCTCGGCGTTGCGGGTCTGCCTGCACCGCGTCGCCTCGCCACTGCACCGACTCGCCACCGCCCCGCTAGCCTGACTCCACCGACACCCTAGGTATAACCCCTCTTTTGCGTACCTTGGTCGTAGATCGCGTAACCAAGTTAGGCGTCTCCCGTCCGAAAGAGATAGGTTGGTGGTATGCATATCTTTGCATATCTATGGCCGTATCTTTTTCAGATTGTCCACGTTATTTGGACAGCCCGCGGATGCGTAGATGAGTTTAGTTTCCATGGTCCGCTCCGATCCGAGATAGGGTTTCGGCGTTACCTCCCCGTTGTTCTTCGGATACACACTCTCCCTGCTAGGACATGTATCGGGAGAACAGCGGGGAGGTGCTGCCGAAATTATGTCTGGGATAGGAGCAGGCCATGGTAACTAACCTCATCTACGCATCCACGGGTGGGATTATGACCTATCCTCACCTATTAGACAGTATGAAAGTCGTGTAGATGTAGTTGATGGTTGCATTACTCGCTGGCATTTTAGAGGATGGATGACCGTCAGTGGATGTACATGGGCTGGAAAAGTCACATGGAGTACATAGATGAATGGTTCGCAAGACCGAGGCTTTTTTGAACAAGGCATTTGGCAAGGCTTCGTCATCACATCTGCTAGAGCCGTGTCCCTGCTCCAAATGTGCAAACAGGAGAAGGATAAACAGGGTCGACATGGGTAAACATCTTGTGAAGAATGGATATATGCCGGGCTACACTCGGTGGATCTACCATGGTGAAGCCCATCGTACGAGAGAGGAGGTGGTGAGACCACGCGTCGAAGCTTTTGATGATGATGCCGGTGTACCAGACTTGTTAGATGATGTTCACCAAGCACTTGGCGTTGATGAACGCGAGAAGGAGGAGATGGAGGCAGCCACAAAGGCTTTCTACGAGATGATGAACTCTGCTCAGAAGCCCCTTTACGATCGGTCCTCGGTGTCTGAACTTGACGCCATTGGATGCTTGATGGCGTTGAAGTCCGAGTTAAACATCAGTCGAGACGGCTTCGATAAGATGTTGATCGTGATTGGCACCCTACTTCCAGAGGGCCACATTCTGCCAAAGAGCATGTACGATTCACAGAAGCTCCTTCGGGCACTTAAGATGCCGTATGAGCAGATACATGCTTGTATTAAGGGGTGCGTCCTATTCTAGAAAGAACATGTGGACGCAAAGTACTGTCCAAAGTGTGAATCGTCTAGGTACCTGGAGACAGACTCTGGTGATGGTCAGAAGAGTCAGACGACAGTCCCAGTGAAGATCGTACGGCGCCTTCCATTCTTATCGAGGATCCAACGACTATTCATGAACGAGGAATCCGTGAAACAGATGACATGGCACAAAAATGGAAAACGGTACAGTCCGAAGAAGATGGTGCATCCAGCCGATGGTGAAGCATGGAAACACTTCGATGACATATATCGTGAAAAAGCTAGAGAGGCTCGTAATGTATGTGTTGCGTTGGCAACAGACGGGTTCAATCCTTATGGAATGATGGCTGCCCCATACACATGTTGGCCCGTGTTCGTTATCCCCCTCAATCTCCCCCTCGATGTCTCCTTTGAACGACATAACATATTCTTGTCGTTGATAATTCCTGGACATCCGGGGAGTAATATGGGTGTGTTCATGGAGCTGGTGATTGATGAATTGATCCATGCTTGGGAGGTAGGGGTATGGACATACGACAGAGCTACAAAGACAAGCTTCAAAATGCACGTTTGGTACCAGTACTCCATGCATGACTTCCTGGCGTATGGGTTATTCAGCGGTTGGTGTGTTCACGGGAAGTTCCCATGCCCAGCATGCAAGGAAGCTTTGAGGTTCATCTGGTTACGGAAGGGTGGCAAGTATTCGTCGTTCGACGCACATCGGTAATTCCTCCCTTCTGAGCATCCATTCAGACAAGACATCAAGAACTTTACGAAAGGTGTCATAGTGATAGACCCTCCACCATGGATAATGACTGGTGCCGAGGTTCATGCGCAGATAGATGCTCTCGTGTCCGCTCTAGATGGTGGGTTTGT